GATCTCAGATACTCTCAGAGGCAGCCAATCTCTTTGTTCCATGAAATCTTCCAGGCTTCGGTCCAGCAGCTCGTATGTAAAACAGTAACTGCCTTGATACAGAAACCAGTCAAAGCAGGTCATGACGTTGATCTGGTCCAGATCGAACTTTCTGAGGCTTGAAACGGCTTCCATTTCTTTAATAGCAGAAAGGCCGTTTTTTGGGCTCACAACTTTCAGAGCAACTGGCTCTGTCTCATTTTTCAGGCATCTAGAAACTAAACCATAACGGCCTCGTCCGAGAAACTTTTTGACTTGATAAACATCTAAAATCGTACGAAGACAAAACCCTTCAGTCATTTCATCCATCAAAGATTTCATCTTGGAGTCTTGTAGTTTTCCAGGACTTCTGACAATGTCTGAATTTGAATTTTGACGTTCAGAAGTCATTGTGAAGTTACTGTTTGCAGACAGCTAGTAATCTTCAAGATAAAACAAAAAACTTGTTATAATATTCAGAAAAAACACAGAGAGCTATAGTTCCAACAGGTCACCATGCAACAGAATGCGAGGATTGAAGACTGATTCTGTAATGGAAGGAGAGTTTTAAAGACACTGACGTATCGTTGACGTCACGAGCAAAAAATTCTTAATTATGCACTCACGTGACAAAGCCACGTGAGCCCGGCATGTGCGAGCTCCGGGAGTCACGTGACCAAGTTTGGCGCCCGGCATGTGCGAGCTCCGGGAGTCACGTGACCAAGTTTGTTTATGACGCCATTTTGGCAGGAAACAGCGAGCTGCCTGGTAGCCGAGAATGGATGGAAGCTGTCAACTTTCAGAAAGCGATGCACATCGATACACCACAAAACTTCACAGACTGCAAATCAGTCATCCACATTTATCTCCTGGTGTGCTTTTTAAAACAGTTGATCAGGTGGCGGGGGGGCGGGACTCCCGAATGTGCAGCGTCCCGACATAAACAACTACCTAATCAACTTTCCGTCGCACTACACTGGAGATTCACTGAAGGCTACAAAAGTCTAGAGGGATATAAATGGATTCAGTCGGGATTTGTGACCAAGATTCTACTGTGGAGTTTAGCACAACGGGATTGGTTTGTTGTTACAGTAAAGGTAAGTAGCCTGTCATTATGCTAGCATAAGCTAACGTTAGTCAGCAAGCTAGTAGCTGAAACATGGCGCTGTGTATCTGACTTTTGTTTCAGGTGAATCATTCACAAAGATTAAATGAGCCCCCATGGGCAGTGGTTAGAAGAGATGGGCAGTGCTAGGTGCACATTGTAATTGCACAGCTGGACAGGGCGAGTGCTGCTCCCATGTGTCTGCCATGCTGTTCAAATTATGGCAGCATAACCAAGATAGGGAGGAAGAGACGACAGCAACATGTAAAAAGTGCAAATGGGACAGACCGAGAGAAACTGCTATGAAGAAGGTGGAGTACCTGCAGGGAAAGGATATTGTTTTCAACAATACACAAAAATCCAAAAAGCAGAGCAAGACCCAAACACCCTCTTCCAACCCCAAAGCCTTCCCACCACTGACCCCAAGTGAGCAAAGTCAGCTTTACAAAAACCTGTCCCAGTGCTGTAGAAAAGATGGACAAACAATAAAACCAGTAATCTTGTCTGTTGTGAGGGAGCATTCAGACTCATCTGTCCCTAAAAAGTTTAGACCTGCCAGATCCCCTCACAAACCTCTATGAGAAAGAAATGAGAGATGTGAGGAGAGACGAGCTGCAGAAAAGAGCAGAAGCTGTCTTTGACCAGTTGTCAGTGAGTAAAGAACAGGTGAGGTAGTAATTGTTTTATGTTTTCACATAATGTCAAACATATGTTTTTATTTGCTTAGTAATTATTATTTTATTTTCAGAGTGATATTGTTGAGGAGGAGACATGAGATAAGCAAGTGTGATAAAAAGTTGCTATTTTCTGTGATAAACTTATCACTTGTGCGGCCTCCCCAACCATTAGAAATAAAACAAATAGATCCCTGTGGGCTAATAGCAATAAGATATTTCATAGTGTGATGTGATTTGTATGTTGAATAACACTGGGCACTAGCTAAAAGGTTACTTGGCTTTTCAGTGAATATTTCAAAGCAGTCAATAATGCAAATAGTTTTTTTTTAAATGTTTGTTACGGAGGCATATGGTAGAGTTTTTCTTAAATGTCTCTTTCAGGCCAGAGAATAAGACTTGGCCCTAATCTACAATACATTACACTGACACAGTGCTTAAAAAGTTTTGAAACTGTGGTGGAATCAACACCAAAATAAAAAGCCAAAAAATCAAAGCTTAAATTCATTCGTAGCTTAATTAATGTCAACACAAATTGTAGAAATAATGTCAGTGCTGATTTCATTTTAAGATCTGGGGAAACAACATTAAAAAGTGTTATCAGAATAGAAACTGTAGGTAGTCCAGTTAACATAAGAACTTGTTTATCATTGTTTTGAAGTGTAGATTCATTAAGTTCATTTTTAGATATTTTCTCCTTAAGTAACTGATTTTCAGCTCTTAAGGCTTGAACCTCCAACTTGAGAGAATGCGTTTGTGTTTTACAGTTTTCTTTATCACATGTAGGTCCAACGTCACCGCCGTCATTCGAAGTCTGAGAGTCATTATTTTTCATTTACGTTCGCCTTCGTCTCAGAGATGTAAACAGCATCATTTGAGATATTTTGAGAGCGAGGTCTCTTCTTCAAAGAGACAATTACCCATGATGCCTTGCGACCCCATAAGTAGGCTCTCTAGCCTGGCCCCCGTCACTTTTCGTTTGAGAGAGGAGAGCGAAAGGTAAGTATTGTTGACACCACGCAGTGGTGGATTTGATATGTGTTTGAGATGCTGTCTCTTTCTTTTACAGTGACGTTTGGTGGCGTTTCAAAAGCAGCTGACTGCAAATGCAAAAGAAGTAAGCCGTGATTCAGTGTCGCAGGTTTAAGTCCAATCCCGTACCCTGATTAGCTACGGGGCTGTCTGGTCGGGATACGCTAACTCGCTAAGTGGCGTGCAATCGCGTGTCGGCCAGTCCCAGAGTGCATCCTGAGGACTTGGGGCGTTTTGAAAAAGAAGTGGATGTTGGGGAAGACGTAGTCTCTAAATGAGTGATGATGAGTGTGAAGCCGGCCCGTCTCGGCTCGAGCGGGCGTACTTGATCTGTTTGGATCAGATTCGGACAATGGAGGTAGTTTTCGGGGCTTTTCACCTTTTTGAACTCAGAGTGAGTGTATTCTTGGGTCTGGTCAGATTGACCGACCGAAGCGTCAGGCTTCCAATGGTCCGCAAACCTGTGGCGCAGGCAACGAAAGCTAAGCTAAACCTTGGTAAAAGAGGGAGCCGTGTTAGCTCCGAGCTACTTCCGGCGACGGCAGCCGGTTCGGCAGTCAGTGCAGCTCAGTGCTACACATTCTSCTCTCGTCACTGAGGTCCTCCATCCACATGACAGAGAGGGGAACGCGAAAATGACTCAGCCTGCAACTGAAAATATTGATGGAGGACCTCAGATTAGCTTGTTTGTCGCACTAGCACCGAGCTAATACCTATAAGGTAATATAGCGTCGGCACTAGCGCAAAGGCTAACAGGCTGAGCTGAGGTTCTTCTTCCATGAAGCAGCTCTGTTGTCCTCCATCCATATTTTCAGTTACAGGCTGAGTCATTTCTACCTTCTCCTCTCTGTCAACGCTCTCTGGTTTCATTTAAAAGAGTVGATKHTCAGATATTGTCCAAGATTAACCTTCAGGGTGGATATAACTCGCTCACACCGAGGACCTATCCACGTCATCATTTACCCAGAATGCTTTGCGTGTAAATAAAATGGCTCCATCTTTGTTAAAATATATTTAATACTAAATAGCTTACAGTAATTTTACAGTGTTTATTTTACAGTTAAAAAATATGTTTATAAAATAAAGTCTAATGTTGCAACTAATCGGGGATCCCTTATAGGATGGACCTTTTGAAACTCTGTAATTTTAACTGCAAATGTAAATAGAAACATTTTTAGTGTATTTTAAATCACATTTCTGTATTTTGCATTGAGACTTTAAAACCAACTTCACCCTAAATGCTGGGGCACATCTGTTGTGTTGTTTCTAACACACAGATTTCTTCAAAGTATCCAAATATGTGAACAGTGAAGTGACAACATGACAACAAAAGTTGTGTCAAACCAAAGCAGGCTGCAGAGTCCGTAACAGAGACAGACGTAAAACCAGAATAGAGTACATGCTGAGCCACTTCTTCACAGAACTAAAGTTAAAATTTGTAGAGTGATTCATGAGATATTTTGCTAACAAAAGAAAAAACAGCATTAAAGGTAGTAAACAGTGAATCAGGAGGGGCTGAGATGTTTTCCTTCTGTCTGTACTAATCCAGTAAATTAAACTTAATGTGTCATTAACATCACACTTTAATGTTGGAATATTTATTACAGATAAATAACATTAAATATTATAATAATAAGCTGGAAATGTGATCAAACAGGCTCATAAAATCAGACTTTGTTTCCTCAAAGCGTTTTATTGACCTTGTGGTGAGCTGGTGCCTGCTCCTTTCTGTTTGTTTAACGCTCAACGTTTTATCACCTGACCGCTTTTATGAACAGCCACATTGTGTCGGACAGGGATGATTTCTTCTAAACCAAACTAATAACTTCCAAGGAGTCACTGGGACTGCATAGTTTGTGTAAATGTGTTGATTTTATTTGATATTAGAGATTAGGCAGGTAAACAAGAGGAGCAGTCTAGACAGATCAAAGGTGTTAGTATATTATAAAATGTTTATTGCCTCATTAGGTTTCTAACCTTTTATACTCAGACACTTCATATAAGAAATATCAGACTAGTTTTTTTTTTTTTTCCCTTTGGTTGTTCCCTCTTCGGAGTCACCACAGCGAGTCATCCTCCATCACCCCCTCCATGTCATCTATATATCTTTTCTTTGTCTTTTCCCTCGCTCGTGTGCTTTAAAGTCACATGTGTTCATGTTCTGATTTGTGTCAGACTGAGAGAAGCCTAAATGAGAAGATGAAGGGCAGATCCACTTAATCTAACCAGATTGGAGGATATTTGCTCTGAACTGGGTGAACTCCCTAAATGAACGCTCATAGATCAGAGCACAACAGCGGCCTCTACTGGTCAGTTTTGTAACATCAACAAACCTGTAAGAGGACCAAAAATAAATCATGTTTTAAATGCTTTACCTGGAAGTCCTCTTCCTCTCCCAGTTCACCTGAATAAAGAACAGGTTGTTTATTTTAGACCTGGAAAAAAATCTGAATAAGTGCATTGAGGATGCCAGGGTAATTTTACTAAGAAATAGTGTTTGTTTCCACCTGTACATCCTGTTCGAGTTTAATTCAAAGCTGCTCCTGTCATTGTGCTCAGTATAGAACGTTACTAAAACATGGCTGTGTCTGTGCACGGTTCTGAGTGCTTCTTCTTTTTTCTTGTGATTAAATTACATTTTGCATTTATATCTAAAACTTAAATATGTTTTAGTTTAAATAACTGTAATTAAGCACTACCCTTTCACAACCAAAATAATTCAATATTCAGAACATAATACATTTATTCTAAAATAGATTCAGAATAAAAACGGTCTAATTAATTAAGTTCAGCCATAATCCAATCTAACAACAAATTTCACAATACTACATAATTAGTAAAAAGTTGTCCGTTGATGGCAGGTGTCTATAATCTACGGCTCTGGGGCCACCAATGTGTCTCATTCTGCAGCAGCTTTCTGGAGCTTTGTCCAAAACAATAAATAAAATAATTACATTTTATCCTCACTTCAGCTGTATTATTTTGTGGTTCAAATTGGAACACATACAGTTAAAACATAATAAATGTGTGACGGATATCTCTCTCATATTGTCATCGTTGTGAAAAATCTGTTGTTGTTTAATCCCACAATCGCCCTGTCGCACAGATCAGATAATTACTTCATCACATTATTGAGCCATAAAACTGGCTTAGTATTTTTTTTTTTTTTTACCATTTTAGCTCTGTTACTACAAACTTGGTTTCACCAACTAGGGGTCTCTGCAGCGTTGGGGGAGTTTATGGGCTGTGTGAGTAGAGTTTGGCAAAATCATGATTGGTGGAGTTAGGTTCTAGGATGTCTAAATTGAATTTATTGACTGTATTTATCATTTAAAACAAAATAATTTATAACTAATAATCATATTCAAAAATATCTGTCTGTCTATCTGATATAATTTTAATGAGTGCATATTAATTTATTTATAAACTCAAACTGTAAATAAAGATTTAAAGTGAACTCCCCTCCTCTGAAACAAACATGGCCAGTAGAAATGGGTCAGACTCTATTTGACCATGTATTTGTAATGAAAACCATCCTTAGTTATCACTGCTGTTTGCTGTAAACTAAATGATTAATAAAGCTTCAGTTGACTTTGTCTTCCCTCTTTTCCTTATTGCAGTTTTTTCCCTCCATCTGAGGTTAGCTGAAGACCACGGGGGTGGGGGGTGTTCTTCACCTCTAGAGGGAGTACCGAGTTCCTGAGAACCGGACTGAGTGGTGGGAGCAGAGCTGCGTCAAAGCAGCCAAAGTGACGCAAAGTCACGCCGGAAGTAAGAGGAGAGCACTTTTAAAGTAAAGGTGGAACTTCAGATGAACTGATGCAACATGCTGAAACAGTCACAACAAATAACCTAAAACCAAACACCTTATCTGGATATTTTTCTGTGTCTCTCAGATGTAGTGTCCGGTGGTTATTAGAAAAAATAATAATAATTACAATAAATATAATAGTTGTGCTCTATGTCTATTTAGCCTTCATTTTTTAAATAAATATGGAGAAATAACCATTTTATTCAAAATTCATATAAAATTACCAACATTTTCAACCTATTTCAAATAAAAAAAATCAATCCAAACAATTTTGCACTATTGTATTTATTTATTTATTTATTTAGTCTCTGTCATAATGTAACTGAATTTTGAGTAACTGTTTTCTATCTTGGCGGGCTTTTTTCTCATGATTTATTTTGGTAAAATGTTTTTTTATTATTATTATTATTTTGGGCGTTTTGTGGGGATTTGATTCAGTTTTAAGTTATTTTACGCCTTGTTTTGAGAATTTCTTGTTTTTTCTCAAAATGACCATTTCTCCTCAGTGAGTTTTATTTTCATATTTCATTGCAGTGTCTGTTCATACTATTTGTTTATTCTAGTGACCTTTTATCCTTATATTCCTTCAACATTTTTTTCCAGGACTTATAGGTTTTAGGCTCAGATTTATTATTATTATTGTCTTTGCTTTAGTAATTTTGTTACAAATAAACTTTTCATACACTCACAATGAACAGAAAACAAATTATACATCAAAAGTAGAGATTCTTGTTGCCTTTCAGACACTGGGTTTAAGACAACAAGAATGTCTGTGTTTTATAGCCTAATTTGTTTTATGTTCATTGTGAGATTCTGAAAAGTTTGTGCACACCTAAATTCCCTTTGGCTTCAGTTATACAACATAATTTATCTTCAACACAGGAAGTATAGGGTGGTCTTACTTCTCATATCTCCTAAAAAACAAAAAGTCACATATTTTATAATCAGGGACATCAGTTGCTCACCATTCAATAATATTTAAGATCTAACTTTTGGTTTTTGAATGACATTTTTTAGGCTTACTTGTCAGTCTGCTTTTCTATCATGATTTAAAAGAAGTTAGACACAATTGATAGTCAGTACTGAAAGTGTGGTTACCATTAGGGCTGCCACGATTAATCGATTAGTCGACAACTAATTGATTATTAAAATAATCGATGACTAATTTAATAATCGATTAATCATTTTCTTTTTTTTTTGTTTACTTTGTTTTTCTCTCCAAACTGCTTTGACACCTTCTGCTGCCACGTCTGCCTTTCTGTCCTCGACACACATGCACAGTAGTGGTAACTGGGGTAGGCCGTGGACGTCACAAGACATTATACAGACAGGCTCTGGTATCATGGCTACCTGGCAACCGAGCTCAAAAGTGAGGGATCATTTTAAGAAAATGAAAGAGAAACCTGTTCAGTGTAATATCTGCAGAGCAGAACTTGCCTTCCACAGCAATTATTTTTAGTTAGCATATAGCTAAAATCTAACCATGGTTATATAATAGCAGCTGCATTCTGGCTCGATAAGCTGTATGTTTTATATTCAATTAATGTATGATCCGATTAGTCAACTAATCGAAAAAAAATTTGGTGATTAATCAATTATAAAAATAATCGTTTGTGGCAGCCCTAATTACCATTGTCTCTCTGATGAGCAACTGTCAGTAGCTTTATGTAATAGTTACATAGATCTTAGTACGTTCACTACTTATAGTTGTATTTTTTAGATTAATACAAAGTTATGTTGAAATTTTGTGTAGTGTTGTTTTAAATTATTAAAAAAATTCCTTGTCTAGATATACAGTATAGACACGTAAATGGAATGCGGGCTTTTATTTTGAAAGGTACAACAGGAAGTGGGCTGTTTTGATCACCGCCATCTTGACGGTGGCGCTCGGAGCCGAGAGGGTCAGGTGGAGGAGAGGCAAGGGAGCGTGTGGAGCGAGAAGAGAAGGCAGGAGCAGACCCTCCACAGGGCCACTCGTTTTTTTTTTTTTTTACCCGGACCATCCTTTCTGGCACGGCTAGGCTACAAATGCTCCTCCACCCGGGCCGCACCGACGCTCCTTGCCGGATGGGCTCGTCAGCAGCGGTCGTGTCTGAGGACAGCAACAGAAGATGATCACGGTGAGTCCCTAACCCTTTTTGATTTATATCCTATTCATCCTCCAGTCGCTGCAGGCCGTTGAATCCGTGCTCTGCTGTCATACGAACCGTGTGAAACGCGTCTGCTGCGCTGGTCCGTGTGTGTGTGTGTGTGTGTGTGTGTGTGTGTGTGTGTGTGTGTGTGTGTGCTCACGCGCGCGCGCCTCATTCTCAGTCTGCGCTGCGTTTGTCCCGAACTGAATGACATAAGCTGGGCGAGAGACCCGAAGAGGCCTCCTCTTCATGCTGGTGGAGATGCACGGTTAGTACACGTTTCCCCGTGTGTGTGCGTGTGTGTGTGTGTGTGTGCGCGCGCGTGTGCGTGGAGCAGAAGAGGAGGGATGAGCCGCATCGCTTTCGCACCTGGCAGGCTTCATTCACGGACTTGCAGCTCGCGCCAGGCGCCCGTGATGGTTCTCTTTTAACCGATTTCACCGCAACGTGTCTGATTAATAATCACGGGGTTTGTTGCAGCTCGTGCTCGCTCGCGAACCCTCCGGCGGATGCTGAGGAATGTGCAGCAGTAAAAACAAGTTGTTTATTTTCCTGACCGCTCGTCGTGTTTGTGAACGCTTTGCTGCAGACTGAAGGACGCTAGCTGTAGAGGCGTGTTTTTATTATTATTATTATTTTGGTATTGTTTTATCTTCTTATTTTTGGAGGAGGGTCCAGAGGCAGGACTTGGGTTTTATTGTTGTCACACAGGCCACGGTGTTATGTAACAAAAAGTCTACGCTGTCTGAATGCGGGCCCTCACGCACGGGCCTCTGTGTTCAAACACCGGGACCGCAAACGCATCATCCGCACATGAACACAACGCGGCTGCAGAAACATGGATAAATAGTTAAATAAAACCAGCTCAGGAGGCTTTAATGTCCTTTGAGTGCTTTATGTGTTTTATCTGCATCATCTGGAGGAAGTGTGCCAGAGGAGAAGATCCGTGCAGGGCCTTTGGACACAATGAATGAGTCAATAAGGTGTGTGTGCGGGAGGGGGGGTAGCAGAAGCCCGGTGCAGCCTGCAAACACAACCAAGCGGCTGGTCGACCTTGTGCAGGAGGTGGTGGGGGGAGTGGGAGGAGAGGGGAGGTGGTTCTCCTTGAGCCAGGAGGAGGGGGTGCCAGAGGAGGCGCAGGCAGACCAAATATACGGCCAGGAAAAGCTATTTTTGCTTCATCAACGCAGCGTGGCTCCCTTCTGAGAGAGAGAAAAGAAATTCCGGTGAGGAGGCGCTGCGTTTCTTCTGACCAGGTAAGATGATCCGCTGCTTCCTCTCGCATCATCTGTGGACGTCCATCGACTCAACCAGTCTTAAAAGAACTGAAAGGGATTCTTCATGTCAGCGTAAACCCTCCTCTCATCAATCCACAGTCACCATCAGGAGGATACAAGAGAGACAGAGGCGGATGTAGTCTTTTTGTGGTCTGAGGTGAAACGCAGGCATGGGGGAACCTCCACTTCCCATTTATTTTTCAACCCTATCGGCCTCCACACGCTTCATCCAAACTGGCTAAATCAGCCGATATTGTCACAGTTTTGTGACGAAAATTGTGTCCGTCTTCCACCCCTCCTTGACACAGTGTCCGCTGAACTTTTCACCCCCAATCCACAAATGAAATTGTCCGATTTTTGTGGGCATGTGTTTACGCTTTCTGCACTTTGCGTCAATTACTCGCTTCCAGAGTCTGACTGTTGTACCTGAAAACAGACATTTATAAAGATAGTCAAGTGGCTATAAACCCTGGATGGAGATAAAACAGACATTGTGCACAAAATAATCTTTTTTTCTGCAGTGTGTGGCGCCTTAATTGTGAAAAAATTTGTGGCTGAAATGAATGTGCTTGACCCTTTAGTTTTTCAGTTTAACCTTCTTTTCATATATTGGACAAATACAGCTGTATGGGAGGTCATGATTTGCCTTCTGTTTAGGAATGGGCAGTAAGTTTTGAATATTCAAAGTCCACCACTGTCATGCTCATTTTTTGTCACACCAGCACCTTGTAGTGATGCACCAAGGTGGATGCTTTTCCAGTTGGGGGGCTTTTTTTTAATAGAACAAAACAAGACAGAAGCAACAAACAACTGCGAGGGTCCCTAGCATCGTTCTATAATCATAGTTTTTGTTGAAAGGGTTATAAAATGAAACCTCAGCTTTACTGACAGAATATTTGCATCCTCATTCAGGGCAGATATTTGTAAAAAAAATCTAAGCATTACCTGACAAATTTGAGATTTTTAAAAAATTTTAAAATGCATGTTCTTATGTTTAATATAATTATAGACCTACTTTTGTAATTTTCCAGTTGGCATGTTGTTTGAGAAAAGCACAGTAACAACAAAACCTCCTCTTGTAAATTTATATTTCTATTTAAAAGTAGCATTTTTTTTTACTGGATTCATATTACTCACTGCCTTGCATGTCAATGTTTTAACTCTTGCACACAATCTGTTAGCTCTTAGGGTATGTGTGGAGGATGACTCTCAGCTACTACCACGCCACATTTTAGCTCAATATCTGTAAAACTGACTGAAGTAAAGTCGGTTTTGAGTTTGATAAGTTTGCTTTGCTGTGGTGGTATTTTTGGATTGGGTAAACACTAACAAACCGACCATGTTCATTAGTAAGTACTGTATATTCTGACTGTTTTGATTAAAATCGGTGCCGTGGTTCAGGAGATATTTTGCTAATAGACTCTGTACACTAGGGGTGGATATTGTTACCAACCTCTCAATTCAATTCACTTACAGTTCTTTGGGTCACAATTTGATTTGGTTTGATTGTAAATTTAAATTTGATTCAATATTTGACATAAATCCTGATAATAATAAGTACATAAATAATTCATTAGAGTCCCTGTGAATTATTTTTAGATGTTTATTTTCTTACTCATATAAACAGAAATGGTATACATTCATTTTAGAGAAATAAAACGTCTGGAAATAAAGCAGTAGCACAATAATACTTGTTCTAAAAATGGAGTGAAAACATAAAACCTGACAAACTTAAGGCTTAAAGTGAAAGAAAAATCCTGAGCTCGAAACTTTTTTGTGTTGGGGATTGGAATGAAATCATTGCATGTTTTTACTCTTGCCAATCTGTGAGAATCTGTACATAAAATCCACACTTTAAATGACACAGAAGGATTGGGGCAGTGGGGTATTTGCTGCCCTACATCAGAGACTGAGGCAAACCAATTGTATTGCAACATATACTTTATAAGAATATGTATGAATATAGAGAGTCCTCATAGAGCTCGATAGTTGAAATTTTATTGATACATTTTATGGTTAAAAATGTCCTGATGCATCTCAGTAATCCAGGTAAAAAGTCAAAAAGAAAAAAATTGTATAGGTCCTCTGGACGGGTTCTTTAACGAAATGTTTCGTCTCTTCTCCAAGAGACTTCTTCAGTCTGAGAGTTTCAGGCAAAATTCAGGCTTTTAAGCCCAGCCTCCGTGTGACTGATACTCACATCACATGGCTATCATTGACACCTAATTAACACTTATTGTTACCAGGGGTGGAGTGATACTGGCAATGGCCGCGCTGTAGGAGGGGGACAGCTGAAAACGGAGGCCTCCACCTCTGTTTAATGATGGACGGTTTTTCTTCACAAAAATGGCTTCTTTTACTCCTCTCTCAAACCAACGTTCCTCCCTATCAAGAATGAGAACATCCTCATCTCTGAAAGAGTGACCGCTGGCCTGTAAATGAGTGAAAACTGCAGAGTTCTGGCCATTAGATGTAGCTCGTCTGTGTTGGGACATTCTTTTGAACAGTGGCTGCTTTGTTTCCCCGATGTATAACTGGTCGCAGTCCTCCTGGCACTTAACAGCATATACAACATTGCTCTGTTTGTGCCGGGGCACCGGATCTTTGGGGTGAACCAGCCTTTGCCGTAATGTGTTTTGGGGTTTGAAAGCCACTGGGACATCATATTTAGAAAATAAACCTCTCAGTTTCTCCGAAACACCCGCAACATACGGAATAACCACTGGTTTGGGTCTGGGTTTGGGGTCTTCATTTTCACCTGAAGGTTGCATGGAATCCTGTTTCATTAGAGAAGAACCCATCCAGAAGACCTACACAATTTTTTCCTTTTTGATTTTATGGTTAATTCATATTTTAAACCCAACACAAAGTAGCTGTGTCATCATCAACATTCTGTCTGTAATAAATGTGTAATCCTGCAGCCAGGATGGATCACAGATCATGTATCATCACCTCACTTCATTTAGCTAAAATCCTGTGTAAAATTGAAAATCCGATTTATTTATTGTTATTTAACCAGGCAAGTCCTGTTGAGATCTTAGATCTCTTTTTCATGGGAGGCTTGGGCCTGAAGGCAACCTATCGTACATGTTTTTAGGCGTGGGGGAAACCAGAGTACACGGAGAAAACCCACAGAAGCACAAGGAGAACATGCAAACTCCGCACAGAAAGACCCCAGGTCCAAACCGGGGGTCGAACCCAGGACCTTCTTGCAGTGAGGCGTCGGTGCTAACCACTGAGCCGTCGTGCCGCCCATAGATATTCATGTTAACTATGAATATCTGAAAATAACAGTCTGACAAAGAAAACTTTCATTTTTGGGGGAGGTAGGCATAAAACATCAACGCATTTTGGCTGTAGTACAAATTTATGTCTTTCTGTGTTAATAATTTTACTCAAGAACTAAAGCAAACGAGACAAACAGGCTGTGCAGTCTCCTGAGACGGTTAAACAGCTGTTAGCACAACACTAGCTTACCTTCACACACGTTGGCCGGTTGGGCTGTCTCTTTTTTTTTTTTCCAAAACACCACAAAGACCTCCACCAACCTGACTGTTGTCGGGCTGCAGCCAGGCCACATTTTCCTTGTTTTACGGCCACTTTTACATTTATCCATTTTGTCTCTGCTCCTAAAGTTTTGGTTCGACCAATGGGCGTGACGCCTCCCGCGATTATCACCGACCGACCAGAAACTTTGAAAGTCATTCCGGATCGTTCCTGACAGAAGTGCAAACTGGCCAGTGTGATCGAAACGATTCAGAGGATTTTCTGAAAGGATATTGAATTGCAAAATAAATCACTGCATTGCTGAATGGACTATTTTACCCACCCGTACTGTACACAGTATACAACTATCTTTCTAGAGAGGGCAGCAGGAAGGACAAAACAGTAAAGGGGCCTCCCTCCACTTGGTGGTGCCCCCGACCTCAACTGTTTACAGTTCAAATGACAAGCTAATTAGCAGTAAAATGCTAAACTATGATAGAGATCGTTTACTCAAAGCAGATTTTGAGTGAAGCCAGGACTTTTCTGCTGTGGTTCGACCATTCGTTTACACAACAACGGTGCTCGTTCTCTGAAATCAAAGTTTTCTATAAGCAGGTTTCAGAGTGGAGGTTTTTGAGAGACCGCCCTCCCTGCAAAGGCGTGAAAGTGAGGGTCCACACCACCCGCAGTTCCTGTCTACAGTGTTTCTTTGCTTGTTCAAGCAGCAGAGCCATCATAACAACAGCTGGTAATAAAGCTCTGTTTGTCCTTCTCACCATTTTCAGCACGCAGGAGCAACACAACCTCGTTCTCACTCCAAAATAAGCTTCCTGCATTCACCTCGCTGGACGTAACTGCCTTATTTCTCATAGTCCAGACTTCATGCATCTCTTCATGTGCTCCACATAAGTGCTGTCAGATATAAGGTTTAAGTGTGCACACGCACAACACACACCTCATCTTACAACTCCCCTCCTTCCAAGAAATTACACGACACATACCGTAGTTTGGGTCAAAATAAAATAATTTTAATACAACAATATGATAGTTCATAATTTCCTATCTGGCCTGGAAATTACAGCAAATATATGTGAACGTGTTTTAATAATATTGATGAGCCTGAATCAACATTACTGTTTTCAGAGAAAACTCGTGTAAACAGGGCCGTAGAGTTAGTCTGAGACAGCCCTACATGTTTGTGGTTAAAGCACATTACAATCTCGGCTACTAATGGAAACTACTTGAAACATGGGAAAACATTTGGAGTATCTACTGTATGTGGAAATTGTAGATGGCAATGGTAAACAGATGTTTTCATGGCTACTTCAGCAGCTGCAGTGAAGTCTGTAGTCCCTGCTTGTGACAAAAGATGCAAAACAGTGAAGAAACGTGATTCAGGTGATCTCAGATTTGTGTTCAGTTGTTGAGACAGGAGAAGAGCCAGGACCTCAGTTTCTGTGGGACCACCACAATAAACCTCACCATTAAACCAGGCTTAGAGGTTTGACCAGTTTGTTTATGTAAGAACTGAACCTAAGCTTGTGCTAGCTTACATTGTTTTTAATATCTATTGCAATAGCTGGTACTTTCAAGAGTATAATACTTTCTGAGGTAGTACATTTTATAAAATTTGAGAACCACTGACTGTTCTTGAGGCTTATTGTTGTTGCTAAAGTTTGTATTTATTCTCAAAAACAATTTCTGGACATTTATTTCTAAAGCAGTAAGATCTTAGTTACACAAATTGTGTTGATGATTCAGTGTTACTTAAATATTACAAAGGCTCATGCTATACAACACCCATTTAATCTGAGTTATCTACAAAAAATGACTGCGATAAACAGAATATGTATTCAAGGTTACAGTAATTTTCAAATATTTAGACAAGTTAAACTGTCATGATATCCAACCCATGGGAAATGTCATCATTGCTTCCAGCTTTAAGTATTTTAGTGAGGATAGTTAAGATATTTAGCTGTTAGGACACAAATATACATAGTAGGAGGTGTTTCAAACTACTATTTCAGTGGTAGTAACAGGGCTGTCTTGTACATAAAAAGAATCCACCCTCTTGTGTCAACTAATATCAATAAGTGCAACTAACTGTGGAGAAACATTGAATTGATTTAATTATCTGCTATGTTCACGGAGCAGCTTTTTATTTCTCTAATTATACTTACAGTACATCTACACTACTTTACATACCAGCACTGGTATGAGGTTTAGACAGTATGACAACTTTCAGCAACCTTCAGCTCTACAAGATAACCAATCACTAGATAAATGTATTTATAACTTTAACGTTATTGCTCTTTTTGCGCATAATGTAACTTTATTATTATTTTTTGTAAAGTAACACTGAAAGCCTGACAAGCTGTTAGTTAATAGGGGTGTAAATCACCAGCTGTATCACAATACAATATTATATAGCTTTGTCTGGATGATGATACGATGTCTGTCATGATTGATTTCAATTCAATTCACAAGTCTGTGATTGATATGATGTGATATGCCCATGTAACACGTTTATTGTGTAAATTGTGCAAATGATATCGATCCACATCTGGCATATAATGAGAAAATGGATCAATGTTTTCGTTTTGCCTGGATGTAATTGAAATATTAATAATTTATTGATATATCAATGTGGATCGATGTATTGTTACACACTTATTAGTTAATTAATTAGCTGGTTATTAGCTGCAGTAGCCTTATATATTTCACTTGCTAACATGCTAACTCTTGTGGCTTGTTTGTTTTAAAACAATGCTACCTTTTAAAAATAGAAAGGAATATCCCTCCTCTGGTAGGCAAGCCATCGCTAACAAAGTTATCAGCCAGATAAAATATGTAACTAATCCACTCCTTTGTTCAACAAGCATAAAGGTTCTAGAGAGCTCCAGTTTGCTCAGCTCAGAGCAACAACAGAAAAAGCATTGTCTATGTTCTAATGTTTTTAGGCAGTAAAACTAGGAATGATATGAGGCAAAAATTTAGTAGTTTAGTAATATTGACACATGGAATACCTCGAACCTGGTAACCAGTTCATGCCTATGTACTGTACATGTGAGTTACATAAGGGTAAGAATAAAATACTGTCAACATCACTTTCTGGCAAATTTCTAAGCGACTTTTTTATTTAATCGTCCAGATCCTCAGATTCTGCCATTCTGTATCAATGATTACTGTCTTGACAGTGTCCTGTTGGTCGACAGTCTTTATCTGTGTTTTGTACTCGTCTGTTTATCATTGATTGTAACTATAAACAGAGCTTTGAAGGAGTCTATTTTCTCCCTTGAGCCCAGCTGACTCCGTAATTTTTTATGCCAGATGGAGTGTTTTTCTGGCGGGGTCAAAAAAGAGCCAGTTCTGGTCCACCTTAATAAAGCCAAACCAAATGCACTATTTTTGGACAAATCGTTCATTTTCCTCCTCTCTGTGCCACAAATGTGTTTCAGTAACCATTCAATTTATATGAAACTTAAAAGTTTGATTAATATCTCTACCTGTCAGTTTTGAAAATGAAGTATAAAAGAGCTGTACAGGAAGACTTAAGTTAAAAAGACGTGCATTACAGTTTAGATTAGATGTCACTTGATCTCGCCTAATTTATCCTCACCTTCATGGCTAATCTGTGTTTTTGCACTAACATCTTGTGTATGTGTTTGACTTTTCTCCTTAGAACCAGCAGAAGCCGTGGAGATAGGCCTGGCAGAGGAGACTCTTCCTATTATTAGCCTCTGATCGTTTGGCAGAGCCACAAACACCTGGAGTTTTGTGTGCAGTTTGGCGTGCATCTATTTCCTCCCAGCCTGCGGCCCTGCAGCGTGGCCTCTACAAACCTCTCGTCTCGTCGTCATAATTTCGTCCAGGGGGATAAATGAGTGAACCGGTTGAAAGGGGAAGGGCTGGAACATGTACCAGAACCCTGACAGGTAACTGAAACCCTGCTTTGGACGGGGAAGGGGTGGAACATTGATCTATATTACTGGATTGGACATCACGTGACTTATCGTGCGCCGCACTGGTGCCATTGCTATGCATTGAGTTTTGACTCAGGAACATTGGTAAAAAGGGCGTGCAGCAGACAGTCATGCAAGGAATATCAAAAAGGGATGCAATATTTTGCCATAAATTGTCAACACTACAACAACAAGATCACAAGATCAAGGTTATCACATTTTACAGATTTAAAATATTTTTTTAATTTAAAAAATGTCAGAGATGCGGAAACTAGGCCAGTTATGCTAGCTTGATTTTGACAACCTTATGTTGGGTAAACCAGAAAGACGAGACAAATTTGCTGTTCCAACAAATTATTATATTTTTATTAATATTGTTATTATGTTAGGATAATATTGTGAGAGGTAAATATAATGGACAACAGTAAAATTACCTTTACCACTACTAGGCTGAACTGTGTAGATATTACTGGTACTGATGTTKTGTCCAGTCAGCAWATGGTATATCCTGTAGTTTGTGATTATATATCAGAGTAAAAAACTCCGTAACTTTTTTCTTCCACTGTACATTTCACAAGCTAAGCGGTGGAGGGGCCGACTGCATTTATTTTATGACCAGCTGGAGGAATTTGTCTTTAGTCACTTCAGCGTGAATGAAGAACCAGGAAACAAATGCAAAATTAGAATTATTTACACATATATACACACACATAACACACATGACTCAGTTTTATGGGACGGAAAGGGGCTTCTACTGTAAATACTGTACGTTAGCAAAAACCAATAATGAAAACTTCCCAGACTTGTTATAGATTTATCTCTTGAGCAAATACATATTTCTTTACATAACACACATTGGCAATTTTCTCAGTTTTAATTTCAGCCATATTTTATAGAAATCGAATAAGAAATGAGGGTGCTATGAATATTTTTGTGACAGATTGACGGGCATCCCGCATTGAAACTCTACCGTTTTGTTGACATGACTCATTGCATAGTAATGGCTCCTATGACAGCGCGTCACTAGCTATAGCGGCTATAGGCGATGTCCAATCCAGTAATATAGATCAATGGGGTGGAAACGGTGTCTGTCAGCACCATGACTGTCGTGTGTTTCTCTGCTCACACAGAATGTCCTGGTTCAGTGGTCTCCTAGTTGCCAGAGTGGACGACCGCAAGACTGCGTGGGGAGAGCGCAATGGCAAGAAGTCCAAACGGAAGGGAGGCTCTTCTTTCTGCAGCCCGCGTTACATGAGCTGTCTGCGGGACCCGGATGCTATGGAGCCCCCTTCCGGAGCCCCTCTCCAGCAGCACCATCGTGGAGGGGTGGCCGGAGCCATGGGAGGCGGGGGAAACTTCGGTGTCCGCTGTGGATGGCAGGAGGACCACTATGGCAAAAGGGACTGTGCCTCTGGGGAAGGGGTGGGGCTCAAATCGGTGGATTTGGGCTTTGAGGACGGGGATCTGAAAGGGCGGAAAGGCGGGTGCAACGGAGGCAGCGGTGACATGAGCAACAACGGTCCCAACGGCGCCGGAGGGGTGATGACGGCTGCGGACTGCTGGCTCAGGGTGGTGCGGGTGTTCCAGTCGAAAAAATTCCAGTCCCGCAAACTGGAGCGCCTATACCAGCGTTACTTCTTTAGGCTGAACCAGAGCTCCCTGACCATGCTCATGGGGGTGCTTGTGATCGTGTGCGGCATCATGCTGACCTTCCACTGTGTCCACGCCGCTCCTCATGTGGCCTACTCGTCAGCCCTGTCGGTGGCCATGGCGCTCTTCATGGCTCTCATGGTGGTGTGTAACCGCAACGGCTTCCACCAGGACTACATGTGGATGGTCAGTTACCTGGTGATCGGAGTCTTGGTGTCGGTACAAGTGTTCGGGGTGCTTATGGTGGCGCCCAGGAGTGCTTCAGAAGGAATCTGGTGGTCTGTGTTCTTTATCTACATCATCTACACTCTGCTGCCTGTGAGGATGAGGGCAGCGGTCCTGAGCGGAGCGGTGCTGTCCATCATACACGTGGTCACAACGTGGCAGATCAATCAGGAAGACAAGTTCCTCTGGAAACAGGTAGGAGAGGCTCGATGTCCTGACGTCTGTAGTGTCTTTGGTTTTCAAATGTCCCATAGCTTTTCTTTCTAAAAGGCAGTGGCTACAAGGGTTCATCATTTGAAAACCCACTGTCAGCTGTTCTGAACTTCTCTGTGAACACAAGTGTTGTGTTTAGATTGAACAGATGCAAAATTTTGTTAGAAAGATAGGAATTGGACACTAAGCATTTTATATTGACCTCACTAGGTACAATCAGTGTCATTGACAATTATTGCACAATGATTTAGACAACTAACCATTTAATCCCACTGATAATCTATAAGTCAATACTAATAAGATAAAAAATGTGTTTTTCACTGACAAAGATCCCAACTGCTCACATCAGAGAAAACTTTAGGACCAATGAACTGTTTTGATAGATTATTGTTGCACAACAACAGCCACCTGTAGATAAATGTTTACATTGTCTCTCACATGTTCAGTTTATTTGAAAATATTCCTGATAAGGTGATTTAAAATCATAACCAGTAATCTAAATTTTGGATTGCTACATTACTTGAACCATTAGCTCCAGTGTCTTTACCACATCAGTAACTAACAAGACCTTTTGAACAGCATCTTGACATACATTAGGAAACGCGTATTTAATTTTTTTCTGTGTTAACATAATTTGAACAAATAGTGGGTACCTTTGGAAAATAATGAATTTGTAAGTAAACTGTTTCATCATAAATAATGTCTTATGAGAAAGGGATCATTAAAGGCTGAGTTCAACAGTGTTTATAGAGTTGCATACAGTTCTACACTTTTAGGTATTTCACAGTAACAATAGAACTTGTTTCAAGTGATGTCCCTCACCACTTTATGAATCATTGTCCATTGTTCAGTGTTAGTTTATCTGATTTAGTTTAGTTTTTTTAATCTAAACCATCTTTTGAGGAAAATATCAGCCCCACTGACTGCTTGACTCATGAGTATTTTATTTTTCACTAGTTACCTTTTCTGTCTGCTGATGTTATTGAGCTTTTCGCGATACAAAGAAACAAAACCAAACAAAAAACTATAGTTTTGGATAAGAAATTAAAAACAATGAGCTAAAAAAGGATAAATTCTCCTCTGCACTGGGAGGCACTTTTATTATTGGACACCAATTTTTGTGAGTAATTTAAATTTCTGAAAAATAATGAGTTATTATGTCCCCATCCAGATTTTTTGGCTCCCGATACAATCCAATTTTTTTAATGATTAGTCTTTCAGATACCGATCCGATAGCTTTATTTCTTTATTTCTTTCCAAGTGACAAGGTTGGTAGTATTAAAGCGAGCCCTGCTGTTCCCACCATGAGAAACATCCAGTTTGCAGATTTTGAAAAATGCAGTTTCAGCATCATTGTTTTCCACTGAAAAGTGTTCCCACACTGTGGACATGGTTGCATACTTGTGTGCGTCTTGACTTCTTAACAGCAGTTGTAAAACATGATGATGCTGAAAACTGTCGTGAAAACTGGATCGGCCCGATCACATGACTAAATCCGATTCTACCCCATTTTCAAAAAATGGCCATATCTGCCACTGATACCAATACTGAGTATCTGATCAGGACATCCCTAGTTATTACTGTAGTTAGCGCTACACTACTACTACTACTACTACTACTYCTYCTACTACTACTACTACTACTACTACTACTACTACTGCAGTAGAATACCCGGCTGCTCTGAAACATTGACCTGACCCTTGTAGTGGGGTAGTAGTGTGCGAACTGGCGACGTAGCCACAAATCGCTCTGGTCAGACTTGTCACCAGGGTTGTAGCTGCATATCTGGATCTTCTGGGTCTGCACAGTGTGCGGTTTGTGCGTCGTGCTAAGAATGGAGGGGCTGGCTGAAGGTCAGTGGGCTGAATGAGCCGCTGCGGCTGGACAGCAGCGTGTGTTTGTGTGCTGCGGTGTGACAATGGGAGAATACCACGACATCAAGCTGTATCACTCGGATCTCTGTGCTCACACATAAGGGACTCTTTGTACTTTTCTCTGAGGGCGGGGTGACAGGGGTGAAGCCAAAGATGAGAGGAAGGGGGGTGGAAGCTATGTGTTTGCCTTCTGTACTGCCCTGTCATCTCCTTTGGGACCAGTTATGTAAAACATAACAGGAGGACCCCTTACGTGAAAACAATGGGGGGATATCAGACCTAATGATCAGTAATTGTTAAGGTATGCACTCCTTAAAATATGCCTTCACTTGTTTGCAGACTCTGTTCTCAGAAAACAAACCATTTAAAAGCCAAGGCTTCATGGGAACTCAGTGACTACAATATACGGTGTAGCCTCCTGCATGATATACCACCGTGTGATCCATCACAGATCCAACATTGTTTGCCATCGTTAAGTGAATGAATGTCAGGAGATAGCTGCAGTGAATCTCTAAGGTCGTCTGTGTACTGTGTGACTCAGCCGTACAGTATCATCAATCACTGCTTTGCAGCTTTTGCGCAAGTATTTCCTCTTTCTTGTATAATCCATTAACTACATGAGGTTTATAAGGGTATTGATGGGTGCAAATGAACACGAGGAAACCCTGTAGGGGATTCTGAATGTCTGATTTCAGCAAATGTGTTCTTTATTCATACTGTAAATATTGTCTCGAGCTGCTGATTCATGTATGCAAGAATTTCTTTTGTTTGTATTTGTACGTTAGACGATTTCATAAGCCAAACAGATATTTAAACATGGTTTTAAACATTGGAACATAATGTTTCAGTGTTTGTTTTGGCTTCAGGCGTGAAAACAGAAATAGAATCAACAAAGTAATAAAAATCTCACACAAATATTCAGAAATTTGTGTTTTTAACGATGGTTTCTTGCTCTCTCCTCTCTGTCTCTCTCGCATTTCACATGTGAGCAGGTGTGTTTGTGAGTGCTGAGAGATGTCCTTGGAAAAAGAAAAGTGGGGGTGAGTGGGGTGTTTTTTTCACGTTGCGTCTTGCTGTGGGAGCTGTGGTTTAAAAAACAAGAGCAACCTGAACTGAACCTTTGGTTCTGCCCTTCGTTGGTTGCTGAGCAGACCAGACCACCAGGAAATGTCCCAATTCTCCCAGTTCTCTCAAAGGCTAGTCTGCCTCTGTTCAACACCTCCCACTACTTAGTGGTGGTGCAGCAGGAAAAAGGGTCTCCATAAAACAGCTGGCGGGCGCGATGTTCTGAGTATCATTCAGGCTATTTAAACCAGTGCTGGTTCTAAATAAATAAACAATGCTTGACCTGGTAGTGGGGGAAATTAAGCCTGGTAGACAACCAGGGTAATAATAGACTTGGGGAAACCCTGTACTGTTTCTGGATTGGCTGCATGGTGGTATTTAGCTCAGGGAGCCCACAGTTCTCATTCTGACCTAATAGGTGGCAACAATCTGTTGGTTTATCAACCATCTGTACAAAGAGAAGAAGAAAAACCTTTGGGTGATTTCAAACTAGTTTTGGGTAGGGGTGTAAGAAAATATAGATACACTGAAATATCGCGATATTTCATTTCCCGATACTGTATCGATATTCTAAAGCCCTGTATCGATTTTTTTTTATTAAGGTTTAAAATGTCAACCTTCTTGCCAACCGTTCATTTTTATGTTGTAGTTCAGCCTCTGACCACTAGTTGGCAGCAGTGAGCCAGCCATTTGGCTCCTCTACCTCTTGAGCACCAGAGAGTAAGGGTAGCATTAGCATTGTAAGTAAACATTAGCTTTTCTTTTTTTTTCTGTAAGAGGTTTTTATTTAATAGAATTTTTGGACAAAAAAAAAAAGCAATATTTCGCGATATATCGCCTTGCTTATAGTATCGCAATATATCGGGATATATCGTATCGTGACCCCTCTGTCATGATATGTATCGTATCGCCAAATTCTTGCCAATACACAGCCCTAGTTTTGGGTGGTGTGAAGGTATTTTGTTATACCGCGGTATCAAAATATGGTGGCAGTATGTACTGTAAACATTATGAGTCCTGAAAAGGTGAGACCACCAAGCTGCATGTTTCTTAACCCATAAGGACTTTTTAGTGACACCAGTGAAATGGATCCAGGTTCTAAAGGGCTAAGTCAAACAAATAGACTCCTTTAGGATCTAAACTTTCTGCAATTTTTATTTATTTTTTTCTTCAAAACCTTGCTCCTAGCTGCAGATGAAGACATGACTACAAACTTTATCGACACAAAGACTTCCCTTGCTAAAAGCATGCAGCAGCGTGAATACAACCAAGAGTCAGATTATTTAGAAACTTCAAACCTTACACAACAGCAGCTGGTTTATTTCCCCCCGCGCCTCTTTCTGGCTATGCGCATTTAAATGCTTTTTCCTTATTTATATTATATTATATTCTAGACACGACAGACACCCCCCACTCCCACCCACCCCTGGAAACATCGTATACCATGGTACTTTCTAAAGATTACAATTTTTGTGTCTTTGACGTCACTAAGCGGTAAATTATCCATATGTCGATAGCAGCAGATCTCCTCGCACAGAGTTGTTCTTCCTCTGCTTGTGGTTTTAGTCGTGGTCTTCTTCATCTGTTGGGCATTTGGGCCTCTTTTTTAACGAGCGTTTTTTCATCGTAAATCCCCTATTCAGTCCGAAATCTGGACTGGAAGTGATTGTTCGAGAGATCGAGAACTGAGTCGGAACCAGGAATGAGGATTTAGGGTCATTAAAGCAAGACCCCATTGTTACACCATGATGGGGGTCCTGAAATGATCTCCAGAAATTAAACAAAATCAAGTAATTCCTATTAACATATTCTCACTGTATCTGTTACAACAAGCAACAACGGTCATAAATAGAGAACAATAGGAGTTTGATCTATTTGTCATTTTGTCCTTTTTCATTTACATTTTTTAACAATGAAAATTCAACCAAGAATATCTTGTTGTTGTTATTTTAGGGATCAGCAGCCTAAATGTTTGGGACCCCTGCCCTGATGAGCCTTGTTCTTCATCAACACACTTTTAAATTGATAGACAGTAGTTTTCAT